TCTTGTAAATTAATAAGAAAATAATAAACCTCCCAGTAGAAAAATTGGCAAAGACCCAACTAGACCAAAAACACAGAGAGAAAATTTAAAACAACCAATAAGGATACAAAATATCCAGTAAACAAGAAAAAATGTGGATTTTTTTCAATAATATGCAAATAAATTGCACCTGTAAAATTTTTAAATTGTCACAAAGATTTCCTGATAAAAATTATAAAGAAGAGTTGTAATACCCAGTACTGTTGAACATGTAGGCTATGAGTATTTTTGTATACTGCCATTAGGATTGTTAATTGGTATAGACTTTCTGGAGATAGCTTCAGCAATATATAAAAATACTTAAACATATTGTTTGACTCAGCATCTATTAATATATTACCCAAAAATATAGTCATGTAACTGGGAAAAATACACCTATTTAGATATTCATTTCCGCCAAAAAATGAAAACAGTATAAATGCTATTCTTCAATATGTGGTTATTTGACAGAACATTATACAACTAGAAGAAATTATTTTGTTTCATTTGTATGGAAATATCTCCGTGACATATGCAGTGATTACAACAGGTTACAAAGAAAGGCGTATGCAACATGATTACATTTGCATGCGTGCATATGTGGGGGGGCTGGTGTTTGTGTGCATGCACTTGCAGAGAAAAATGTCTGGAGTGATCCTCAACAAAATATCGATAATAGTTATGGTTGCTGATATTTCAGGTGATTTATATTTCCTTTTAAGCATTTTACTGTATTGCTTAATTTTTCTACGTGAGCAGGTATTAACCTTATAATTAAAAATATACACACTGTGAAGGAAATAAAAAAGGTCCAAGAACTTAGTAAAGAGGGGAAAATGTCACAATGGTAATTCCAATCATTTTCCTTTGGAATTGCTTAATCCTTTATTAAGAAATTGCTTTCAATATAAAATAACAGTCCTGAATTCTTAAGAAATAAGGCAGCAGATAAAACTATTTAGAGTCATGATGTTCTGTAACACGGATATTTAAATATTTCATTTTTACTTCTTCCCCTCTCACATAGGTATGTTTCTTTCCAAGCTGATAGAAAAATATTTTGTGTCCCCGACCCTGTTCCGTGTGATCCGTCTTGCCAGGATTGGCCGAATCCTACGTCTGATCAAAGGAGCGAAGGGGATCCGCACGCTGCTCTTTGCTCTGATGATGTCCCTTCCTGCGTTGTTTAACATCGGCCTCCTGCTCTTCCTGGTCATGTTCATCTATGCCATCTTTGGGATGTC